ACTGAACAGATTGTAAAATACTCAGACCAGCCTGTCTGGCACTAACAACCATGCCACGCTCAAAATTGCTTAAATCCCCTTTCTTTCCCATTCATTCAGTTTGGAGTTCAGGTGATTGTCTTGACCTGGACCACACCACTAAATGTATTGAAGCAACTGCCATGTGATTGGTTGATGACACGGTAACATGATCAATGTGACAGATTTATTAGATTTTGAATCCAGATAATGTGGTCTGGTCTCAGACTATTGGGCTATTATAGGCTACATTATAGCAGTGAGATGGATAGCACTGCCCCCGTGTGGATTTATGTCGTATCTGCAGCACTCTCCCCCAAGAGCAGGGGGTGCATGATAATAGTGTTAATATAAGATTAACATCAATTATGCATGTAATATGCACACTTTTTATATTAAATATATAATATAAACATATGTATTCAAGATGAATACATATGATATGTTTATGAACAACAATTTGACCAACTTTTTGTTATATATAAAAAAGATATTTAGTAGTTTAATGGATGACCGTGATCTGTTGCTAAGCTTGTTTCTGATACGTGAACAGCGGTTTAATTCCAAACACATTGCCCCAGTAATAAATATTTTTTTGTTGGTGTGGTTTACTGTCCTTCCTTTTTTACTTGAGGCTCCAGGTGAGCTTGTTAAAATTCCACTTCGATGTCAAACAGCGTTGAGGCTACATGAATTTGACTGGCAATAATGCTGCAGAAATAAATATTCAGAGACCTTCAGGGCTGGAAAACAAGATGGAGAAGTTGTGGCTCAGATTCTTAACAAGACCCGTTGGCATTTTTTCAAGCTCATGTCTACAATAATGCTTATGTTATCTGTAGACCACAAATTACCCTTGCGGTGTAATAGCAAAAGAGAGCGGAAGCTGCATAAAGAACCACTGAGAGATGACGAGTACGGATCTCAGAAGTTATTGTGTTTTATATAAGAGTTAATTCACACAAACATGTTATTTCTGTCATTAATTACTCAGTTCCATTTTCTTCTTTTCTGTGTCAGTCTCTAATGTTACTCACGTTGTAAACACGAAGCGCTTCTGCTTTTACTTACAGTAGGCTATGTCAGAATGGCTGCGCAGTGGTACTTCAGCATCACAAGCATGCATCGTGAAAGCTCATCAAAAATATCTTAATTTGTGTTCAGAAGCTGAACGAAGGTTTTACAGGTTTGAAACAACATTAAGGCGAGTAATTAACTACAATTTTAATTTTTGGGCGAACTAACCCTACAACAATCTGAACAAGGAGAAATGGATTCACAGAAGAAAAATGTTTAGACAACTCGAAAACTGTTGAGCAAAGTTTGAGCAAACTAAAAAGGTTATGTAACTTACTGTCACAAACGTCCACTGAAGGCAAGTTGAAGTGAGAACCCTTGTGCAGATTTTCAACTAAACCAAATAAACCTGATGAGCAAAACAGACCTGACTTGAAACATGGATATCTAAACAAACTCACCAACAGCAGATTACAAAGAACAAAACTAGACAAGAGAATAGTTACATATTTATACACAAAGACTAATGACTAACAAGAAACACCTGAACATAATGAATCAGAACAATGAGAAAACAGAACTGAGAAATGACCAAAACAAAGATGATACAAACAACAGGGGGAGCACATGGCAAGATCACATGAGGGCAAGCAAATCACACGAACAGGAAGCAAAAGCAAACATGACTACACAATAAGACATGAACAATTAACATGAAACAGACGATACAAATCCAGGACCAGAGACGGGCCCGTAGAGCAGTGGACGAGGTCATGGTGGATCAGATGGCCATGGTGGAGCCAGCAGTGATGGGGGCCACCAAGGCGGAGCTAGCGGATGTAACAGCACAGCAGAGATGACCTCTGGGAATTAGGGGGCCATCGGCCGTCCTACTGGCCATGAAATATGATGTGGCAAGTCAGTGAACAGACTTCATGGTCATAACATGAGACACAGTGAGTTCAGGGATGGCCGCAGTGGTCATCACATGGGGTACAATGTATTTGGCTAGAGTCCCCGAATCACCACTCTCAGGCATCAATAATTCAAAGAGTCAACTAAAAGGACAGTAATAAGGTAATCAAAATTACACTGATATGATAGTTTGATTATAAAGTAGGTCTATGTTTGAGACTATAGTCTATATTTCTATGTGGTGAGTTTGATTGAACAGTTTGATTGAATCCCTTATTTTATTGGCATTTAAATACAGAATAGTTATTTCGCCATTATTCTTAACATTGTATAAGCATTTGTTTAATGTGCCAGAATGGAGAATCTTGGGAGTTTGTGTAAATGTCACATCATTTTGATTTTCCCGGCAAAAACATTCCCAGTCTTTCATAGACGATCGTTGTGGGAAGGTCTCGTTTCGTTACAAGCTGTTCACACTTTGGCAATTAAAAAAGCGATTAATACATGACAATTCTGCATATAGCCCCTTTAAGATATTTAAGAATAATAAGATTTGTTTATCTTAAAAAGTGTATCCAAGTTTCCCTGAAACCAGCTTAAAGGGTTAGTTCACCCAAAAATGAAAATTAAGTCATTAATTACTCACCCCCATGCTGTACCAACCCCGTAAGACCTTCGTTCGTCTTCGGAACACAAATGAAGATATTTTTGATTAAATTTGAGAGCTGTATAACTACTACATTGGCTCCTAAAGGACTGCCTCTTGACGGCCCAGAAAGTCAATGAAAAAAATGTTTAAATATCCCAAGTGACTATACCGTGGCTCAACTATATGTTTATCAAGCGACGCAAATACTTTTTGTGCGAAAAAACAAACAAAAATAACGAGTTTATTCGACTATTTCTTTTCTTCCTTGTAGGCCAGAACGAGACTTCCTTAGATTTCCACGACGCATGCGCGAGAATTGCGATCTGAAGTGGTGTAAGCTGGTGTAAGCAGATCGCAATTCTCGCGCATGCGTCGTGGAAATCTAAGGAAGTCTCGTTCTGGCCTACAAGGAAGAAAAGAAATAGTCGAATAAACTCGTTATTTTTGTTTGTTTTTTCGCACAAAAAGTATTTGCGTCGCTTGATAAACATATAGTTGAGCCACGGTAGTCACTTGGGATATTTAAACATTTTCTTCATTGACTTTTTGGGCCGTCAAGAGGCAGTCCTTTAGGAGCCGATGTGGTAGTTATACAGCTCTCAAATTTAATCAAAAATATCTTCATTTGTGTTCCGAAGACGAACGAAGGTCTTACGGGGTTGGTACAGCATGGGGGTGAGTAATTAATGACTTAATTTTCATTTTTGGGTGAACTAACCCTTTAAGTGTGGCACAAACATGCAAAAATGCATTTAAAAAAAGATAAATATGCATTGCACCAGAAAAATATAGGAAAAAGCAAACACCAGTTAGGTTCTTGATGGTTTATTAGAACAGGAAATGATAACAGAGCACAGTCTCCATGCTCAATGACAGCCAGAACTGAGGACACGTTTTCAAATGTAGAAATCTGTGCGCACATGTGTGTGTGTGTTTAAGTACAGTGGAGTCCAAAAGTCTGAGACCACATTGAAAATTTGGGATTTAAAATATCATTTACACCTGAAAATAAACAAGGTTTAGTATTTTGAGAAAATGTTAAATGTCAAGAATATGATATATTTAAGATGTAGCACTTTCCAATTTGTGACATTTTTCATGTTATTCTGTACAGACAAAAAAAGAAAAGAAAGCACAAGATGCTCTTTGGATAATCTCAAATCATGCTGGAGAACACGATCATCAGGTTTTACGTAAACTACATGCAGCTCGAGTGCTGCTGTCATTAAAGCAAAAGAGGGACAAACTGAATACTAAGACATTCTGAAATGAATTTGTAATGAAAAACATTCAATTAAATAAAAAAATAATCTTTTTAGACTTTTGAACCACACTGTCCATGTGTTTGTGATCTTGTGTGTGTGTGTGTGCATTTGTATTGTTGATTTGGGAAGCATGCATGTGACAGTCTGATTGGTGGACATTAAAGGGTTAGTTCACCCAAAAATGAAAATTAAGTCATTAATTACTCACCCCCATGCTGTACCAACCCCGTAAGACCTTCGTTCATCTTCGGAACACAAATAAAGATATTTTTGATTGAATCTGAGAGCTAGATCAGTCCTACATAGACTGCCTAAGGGATTGGCTCTTGACGGCCCATAAAGTCATTAAAGAAAAGGTTTAAATATTCCATGTGCCTACAGCGGCTCAATTATAAGTTTATCAAGCGACGAGACTACTTTTTGTGCGAAAAAAAACATAAATAACGACTTTATTCCACTCTTCCATTACTTCCTTATGGGCGCATGCGCGAGAACTGAGACGAGGACGTTCTCATTCGTCTACTTCTTGTTACCGGCTGCTCACCGCTTAGGAGTTTTACCGCCACCTACCGTATAAGATGATGTGCTGATATAGCTGGAAGCGCAAAACTTTCTGTTTACAAGCAGAGGAAGATGCGCGCTGTACATACGCTTTTCAATTAGCGTATTTTCCGCACTACAAGGTGCACTTAAAAGCCTTTAATGAATCTTCTCAAAAAACGACAGTGTTCCTTATAATCGCCTTATATATGGATCATCATTTTATACGGTAGGTGGCGGTAAAACTCCTAAGCGGTGAGCAGCCGGTAACAAGAAGTAGACGAATGAGAACGTCCTCGTCTCAGTTCTCGCGCATGCGCCCATAAGGAAGTAATGGAATAGTGGAATAAAGTCGTTATTTATGTTTTTTTCGCACAAAAAGTAGTCTCGTCGCTTGATAAACTTATAATTGAGCCGCTGTAGGCACATGGAATATTTAAACATTTTCTTTAATGACTTTATGGGCCGTCAAGAGCCAGTCCCTTATGCAGTCTATGGAAGAGTGATCCAGCCCTCAGATTCAATCAAAAATATCTTTATTTGTGTCCCGAAGATGAACGAAGGTCTTACGGGGTTGGTACAGCATGGGGGTGAGTAATTACTGACTTAATTTTCATTTTTGGGTGAACTAACCCTTTAATAGGGCACACAGTAGCATGTCGTGTTGAAGTACACACTACCTCTGTTTTCCCCAGACCGAGGCTGTGTTCATGCAGATAGTTCACTTAAATTACATTTAAGCACTGAAACCATTATGTACACTGAAGAGGACACTCTTGTCATTTAATGACAATGGGCCCAGTAACACGAACAGCCTCCGGTGCGAGACAAATCAGAAGTCCATCACAGTTAACAGAAGACTTGGCTCTTTTGCAAAAGTGTTTTTCTTCTTCTCTTTCATTGAGGAGAAACATCTCCCATCCTTTTTTTTTTCTGAGAAAAGGCTTTGCACAGTTCATGAACCAGGATCAAACACTGAAATTCAGGTCACAGTCGAAGAATAATCATTGTCATTGTTTAAAAAAAAATTCACACACCAGAAAGCAAATCAAATCACTTTCATGAACTCAATAAACCAACCTAAAACATTACCACAAAACAAACAAATAAACAAATATAAAAATGAAGATATCAGTACTGGCTAATATACTCTCTACAACTTTACAAAAAAAATTCAAACTCTGTTTGTGCTTGTCAGATGTCAGGTTTTGCAAACTGAAAGCATGTCATCTCTAAACAAACCACTTTTTTTGTGTTTGCGCATTTCGTCGGGTGGCCCATTAGCTGTGGCAGGTTGTGGCTGGGGGGCTGTCAAAAAAAAATAATAATAATAATCTCAGGGCTTTAAAAGACAAAGCGGAGAAAGAAACAGCCCAGACAATGAGAAAGCCTGGAGCGCACTATCCTCACTGTTCATAGGCAGCATTTTAATTGGAAAATTGAGAGTAGGGAGCTTTCTAAAACATAGCTAGATATTTCTGTCCAAACAAATCCATAGCAGAGTGTTTATGGCTGACTCCATTTCTTGCTTGAGAGAATTACGACATCGGAAACAGTGAAACAACCCTTGTTTATTTTATTTTCCCCGGCAAAGCATTTTATAGAGCGCCACAGCAAATTAACTCCATTTCACCGCCTCAAAATCTTGTGCGAATTAACCATTGCATACAGGGTTTCACAGTAACTTTGACCTGCGCTTGCTGCTAGTTTCTGGTTTGTTACTTATATGGGATGCTGTCGGGAAGATGATTTGCTGCCCATAACTCAGGCGAATGCTTGGTAAAATCTGGCTGTGAGTAAGCAAGTGGGTGCCGATCATCTCTAGGGCCGAGACAGACTTAGAGTAATCACAAATGTTTCGCCTAATGGTGCAACGGAGCGAAAAGCCGAGAGAGAACCGGGAAGAGAGCGTGCATAGGTGGGCAGATGTTTTTTCAGCATGTAGTCTGTGTGAGGGTGGAAAAGTTTGAAAACGAACTGAGCTGGGTGACAGCATCAATTAAAAAAACTGCATCAATAATGTTGATTGTGTAAAGTAATTATACAGTTTGGAACTCAGTCATGCATTGGCACTTAAAACCCATAAATTATACACTTCATTAATGGCTTTAAATGTTCAGCTTCAGCGCTTTCATCAATCCACATTCAAAAGAACGCACTCCAACCCTGTGCTCTTATATTCTCTCTCTATCCGCGACTCACCAGTGTTTTCATTGGGAACACGGCCTGTTTTTAAACCAACATACACTTAGTGCTGAAGTATTGTTGATTATGGGACCATCAGACAATTCATGTCAAACTCTCTCATGGACCATTTTCACATTTTTGGGTTTTGGTACGTAAACAATAGCAGGGTAGTCTTATAGGGAAGTGCATGTGAGACCAAAGCAAATGTTTTGCATTACTATTTGTTTCGACGGTTTAATAAAAACATTTATATTACATTTTCATGACTTTCTCAAAGAAAAGAAAAGAGGATAGATAACAGCAGTCAGAAAGATTGACCCTACTCCTTCAAAAAACGTATTTGAAACCACATTGCAACAGGGTTTAACGCAGGTACTACTGTTTAAAATTGGGGGGCCAGTACGATTTTTTTTTAATGATTTTTAAATCATTTGTAAAATATTGTGAAATAGTATTAGCATTTAATAAAACTAAAAAATAAAAAAGTAATTTATACCTGGTATATAGCACAGCCGAATGTTAAGCAGCCAGTACTCGTCTTCAGTGTCACATGATATTTTAGAAACAATTCAAATAAGCTGATTTGGTGCTCAAGAAACATTTCTTATTATCAATGTTGAAAACAGTTGTGCTGGTAGATATTTTTGTGGAATTTAAAAGAACAGCTCTTGTTCGAAATGTCTTTAGTGTCACTTTTGACCAATTAAACGTGTCTGAAGAAAAAAAATTCTTATGTTACTCTTAATTACTCATCTCACACTGTGAAAAGGGTCCATTGAGCACTAAGTAGAAAAATCCTGTAATGTGTATTACTGCCCTCTAGTGGACACACTCGGGTAATGCTAGGTGAATTACTGGTACCCCATGGGAAGAAAGCAGAGAAAACGTTGTTCACAGAGAGGTGAATGAATTGAATAGTACACTATTTCTTTCATGCCTCTCGTGGGGTTTACAACCCTGAAACAAACAAACAGAAATCCAAAGAGAGCCAGAGGAAACTGAACAATGGCTGAAGTGGGCACAGAGCCACCGGGAGCCCAGTGGGTTTGAATTTTTTTTACTTTCCATCTAAATGTAACATTGTATTCGTCTGATTCAGTGTGGCTTATGAAGGCTGGCAGTGAAGGGGGACCCAGAGTGGTCCGATCTGTCTGGCTCCTCATTGAGATTCTCCTGGGCTTGGCTGATGGCTAGGCCATGACTCTTAACGGCTATTTGTTGTCGGGATGGTCTTGTCTGACTGGGCCGCACAAAGAAACCCAGTGTCAGTGAGACACTCAGAATGCAGCTCCCTAGTGGCCCGGCCCAGCCCAGACAACCGAGCTCACATTTGACTCAATGGACTGCAGAGAGAACGAAGCCAGCCCGAGTAAAAGAAAGAGAAAGTGTTGCAAATGCTCTGCTCTAATTCTAACATGTGTAGGGGACAAAAACGCACTTATCTTAGTTTTAAAGATAAACCCCCAAAATAATTGGGTCTTTACACAATATAAAGTCATGTCCACAGTGCTTCCAGAAAGCATGGGTAGATTAATCCATGATTTTTGGCGAATGCTCTTCTCCATCACTCATTTACATCTGATATTCCAGCACACAAGTCTTTCGATAAAGTCACATGGCAGTTTTCTTGATTGCTTCCTGACACTTAATAGGTAAGGGAGGGAGGGGTAGTCAGTCATTTGACATCAGATCACTTACGAAACTACAGTGAATTTTGCGTTCACATCGAGTCTTGTCGACAAGCACATTTTGGCGCGGCTCACATACACACACGCAAAACAGACAAAAGGAAGTTTGAGCTTGTCTGCAAAGGCCCGGGACGCACACAAAAGAAGCATCCACAGGCTCAAACGTAAAGCAAGAAAGAGGTGAAAACGAAACGGATCACTTCCATTGAATGGTTTACAGGGCGTGAGATTACAGAGAGACAATCCGCGACCGCTTCGGTATGCTAAACAGTCAACATACCCATTCGCAGGACTATGATTATGTGTTTCACTTCCCATCACCCATCACATCCGTTATTCCCAAGCGATCCTTCCGTTTCATTAGACAGGGCGTGATAGAAGCCGCAAACGTGCTAAGTGGCGTCAACCCTCAGCAGCTTTAACACCATCAACGCTCTTATTCTCTCACTCTCTGTAGTTCTAGAGCCACTGGTGGGGGACTTGAAAGACACTGGATGGCAGTGAGAGAGGACAGGAAGGGCAGGATTACAGAAGGAGCCTAAGTCTTGGGGGTGATGGGACCACTCATTGGCCATTAGGGTTGCGCTCACTTACACTTTTCACCAGCAGGTGGCTGTAGTCCTGTAGCTCATTGTGCCCCCGCTGGGTATGGTGACCTGGCCGTACTAATGCTGCGTTAGTACGCGGCTGTATCGGATACGGGTGGTGGCCAGAAGGAGTCGTGTTGTTGCTATTGAAGTTGAGCCCGTCGCGGGACCATCGCAGATGTTCACCATAGTCCGTCTGCGTGGTCGTGGTAGGAGCCGACACCACCCTCCTGCGGTCAGGGGAGTCTTGAGGTGTCGTCGGATAGTTGTATTCACCGGTAGAGTTGCGGGTAGGCGGGGCGGTTGGTTGCCCGCCCTGATCCCGCTGATTCGCAGGGTGGGAGAGGATAAGGTACCGCTGCCGCTCTGAATGCGGGGGGACATTGCCCGATCCCTCCTGCCGGCCACCCTGCAAGTATTTGGAGCTCAGGTAAATGACCGCAGAGTTCGTCGTGCAGGGTGTCCCTGTCTGGGTCAGGAAAGTATGGCTCTGGTCCCAATCACAGTCTGTGAGATGAACGTTTGGAGTTGGACGTTTCTGCTGCAGAGGTGTCTGTTCTGGAGTGGGAAGTCCTGGGTCGATATCTCCAGATTTTGGCCAGCCGTTGGTGAACAGATTCTCAACCTGCGAGTGGCGCCGTTCGCTGCCGCTGATTCGAGTCACGCTGATCACGGAACCGCTGCGGCCGCGTCCAAGCACGCTTTGCTCCTTGTCACTCTTGCGCCGACTCCCCAAACCGGATCCGCCGGCTCTGGAACGTTGGCGGTGCTTGAGGCTCATTATCCAACAGACCATCAGACCCGACAGCGCCGCCCCGGTGGCAAAAGCTGAAACTGCAGACACGACCAGCAGGTTCACGGACACCAAGCCATCTGGTTCCTCTGTGAAAGTCAGATGCTGAACACCTGGACACATGGAAAGAATAACAGAAGTGAGCATAAAACACATTCATACCGTACAGATGAACAAAGATAATTAACTAAATTAAATTTCCAGCAAAACAAAAGAAATTAATGCACGAATGAAGGAAAATAGCAGACTAATTGCAATCATTACTACCTAAAGTGGATGTTCATTTTAACTGCTGTAATAACTGTCTTTCTGATCATCAACTACGTGTTTTGGAACATTAACTCTCAAAAACGTCTAACGCTGAATAATTCTGACAACTATTAAAACGTTTAAGCTGTATTTACAAATTCAAAAGTGCCCTGGGTGTGATCGATCTGAAGTATAGAGGGATGAGAGCAATGGATACCTTTCACTTCTGAAATGACAGAAGACTTAAGTTCTCAGAAGAGCACCAATTAATTATTGATGATGAGGAAAAAGGTAAAGCTAAAAAAAATAGTGCTGCAGCAGACCAATTAGGAAAATATCGGTTAGGTTTCTTCTATGGAGCTCAAACACCATGGACTCTTATAGATAAAACTGCAAGTGAGCCAAAATTACAAAAACATCCCTTCAAGATTAGGGTGCAAAAAAAAAAAAAAAAAAAATGAAAAAGTAATTGTTGGTGAACAAATAAGGTTCATGGAATGTTTTTGTTCAACTACCAAACATGTAAATCTATAGGCAATATCTTATTAATTTAAGAAAACTTGTTCTCAAATTAAAAGATTTCTTACAGTGACTCACAACACAACAGTAGAACCAACATCATAAAATGGCTCAGCAGATGAAACTCTCTTGAAACAAATTAATTTAACTGGCAAATTTATCACAATAGAGATTAATGGTAAGCATTTCACATTGGTGAAAATAAACAGCCTTAATTAGCACTTACAGCTGTTTGTTTAAGAACTCAAATAAAATGAGAAGAGAGGAGGCACAATCAATAAAAATGTTGCTACGATAATTAGCTCATAATAGCTGCCTCAATGTGGGTGTTTGCGTGTACAAAAAATACATTAGCCGCAGTTGGGCATCAGGGAAAGGAACTGTAAAACATGTACCATGTCGGTCATTTGATTGGGAGATGTTGTGACAGAGTGCCTATCAATTTTCTAGTGATATACATGTTTACTTCACAGTGTTCATTTTGGAGAGACAGACCACATTACCAAAATGACACTTCAAATCAATCAATGCATTCTTGTGGATGCTGAGTCAGTGTCTGTACTTCTCTCTCTCTTTCTCTTTCTCCCCTCCCTCCATTTGTGTTTATCTCTGTCTCTGCCCTGCTACCGCTCTGTCTATTTTGTTTATGGAGTGGGGGCATTATATTTATTCTATCGCAGACAGATACCAGGTGTGTGTATCTTTTCCCAGCAAGATAACTGCCGTCTAAAAAGCAGTAAACTATTGGTTTTTGTTTTTGTCATCTTTATGATTAAATTTCTGGCTGCCACTGCCGGTGTGTGGCTGCATTGCTGCTAGAAGTAAGATAAACATCATTGGCATGGGGCGGTTCTTGTCACGAACCACTGCCTAAAACAGTTTTTGTTTATGCTGTTGCAGCCCACTTGTCATTCACGGGGGCCCCATCATACATCAGGAACGGGGTCCTGAAAGGATGTGGTGAGCGGGGTGGGATGCTGGGATGATGCTGTTTTCTAAGTTGTTTATGTTCATGCATTGTGGTGTTTACTTTCGGTGGCATAAGGCAACGGGGTAGAAGATGAAGTTATGTTTGAGTGCTTGAAGATTTCTCTGTGCAACACACTTTGTGAACTTTTCAAACAAACTCGGGAGTAGAAAAGAACGAAAATTCAAATGTGCCAGTAACACATTACTAGTATAAGGTAATCAACATTAATGCACTAGATATCACGAACAAACAATTTAAATCATTTTAATATACATATATAACTGACAAATTTACATTCATGCATTTTACTATTACATGATGTTTAATTAAATATCAAGTATAATATTTACATATAAATATGTAGCACAGCAACTTTGTTATGATATTTTCAATGTACCATATGTAATTCTAATCTTGCATACTTAGGTTGGATTATATGCAAATTAAAGGAGTAGTTCACTTTAAAAAAAAAAACTTTTGCTGATAATTTACTCACCCCCATGTCATCCAAGATGTCCACGTCTTTCTTTCTTCATTCGAAAAGAAATTAAGGTTTTTGATGAAAACATTCTAGGATTTTCTCCATATAATGGATTTCAATGGGAACCAAACGGTTCAAGGTCCAAAATGAGAGTTTCAGTGCAACTTCAAAGGGCTTTAAACAACACCAGATGATGAATAATTGTCTTATCTAGTGAAACGATCGCTCATTTAAAAAATAAATAAAACATTTTAAGTTTTATAATCTCAAATGCTTGCCTTGCTTTGTTCTGTGATGAGCGTTCGTGACTCTCCTGTTCAAACTCGTTCATCAAAATGAACAAATTTTTTTTCGAGTCATGACTCTAAGGGTCCTAGATAAGACCCTTATTCATCGTCTGGTGTTGTTTAAAGCCCTTTGAAGCTGCACTGAATCTGTCATTTGGACGTTGAACCATTTGGTTCCCAATAAAGTCCATTATATGGAGAAAATCCTTGAATGTTTTCATCAAAAACCTTAATTTCTTTTCGACTGAAGAAAGAAAGACGTGGACATCTTGGATGACATGGGGGTATCAGCAAAAGTGTTTTTTTTTTTAAAGTGAACTACTCCTTTAAGGGGCTTTCAATCTTTCAACTATAAAACAAAAATAAATCCTTCTTCTCTAGTAATCAAAAGCAGTCAAGCCAGTAAAAAAACCCCCAAAATAATACTGTAATGAATACAGTTACGCAAGTACTTTACACCACCGCTGGTGTATTAACTATTGTTAACAAACTTAACCTTATCGTAAACTTTATCTGTTGGAAGCGCACTTGAGGTCATGAGAACTCACAGAAAGCCTGACTCTCTAAAAACACAATTTCGTTTGCAAGCAGTACTAAAACACACATCAAACGCTCTTTGTATATACGTCGCTTTTTTCTAGGTGAAGCCCTGATGGTGCCTCAGATAGATATTACTCAAACCACGCCGGCCTTTCTCTTTAATGAAAGAGACGTATTAAAGCATCGCCTGTCTGGAGGGCCACCTTTCATTCATTCTCTCCTCTCGCCTGCAATGTGTCCATCCTTTTTTACAGTACGAAGATGGTGCATGCATGCAATGAATAGATTGGGGCCATCATAGATGTTGCCTTTGTAGTCACTTCGCTTTGTCGTGACGGGAAACAAAACGCACAGACGAGAGACGAAGGGGGAGAGATAGTCTCGGGCACTGTTTCTTTCTTTTCGTCATTCCCGACGGGGTGACAGAAACCCCCTTTTTCCCCATTCACTTATTAAAGCTTAATGGAAGGCAGCCGGACTGTCAGGCTGAAGCGCAGCAAGCACGTCTTTAGCTGGAAGCTCCAATTACAGGTGAACAATGGCGGTGGAGCAGTCTAGTTAAAGTTAGTCTTCAGAAGGCAATAGGCCAAGTGCTAAAAGACTCAGAGCCCAGGGACTAACTGCCTTGCTTTTGCCTGTTTTTGACCCAGGTCTATTCACTAGCAGTTGGATGTTTGTTGCTTATCACACTCCATCTCTTTGCACATCTTCTCCCGCTCATCTCTCTCTCGCTCTCTCTCTCTGCCACGTCCTTTCATCTTCTGCTGGCTGGCTGTCTCCGGGGACGTACCCTTATTCTTTTATTCCCTGTATCACTCTATTGCTCTCAGTCTCTCTCTCCTTTTCAACCTGTAAGCAGAGAGGCGGCTAATGAAATGCTAGCAGGTTTCAGTTTCTTGTTGAGATCATGTCATTAAAAACCTCAGGTGGAATATAGATTTTCTTCTAGCAAATAAGCAACCTTCTCAAGGTTTATTAATTACCTGATCTTCTAGCGCTGTGTGAAACAGTTTAGAGTGGTAAAAACAGGCCCTTATCAGCTGTGCTTATGCAACAAACACTTATTCATGCAGTAGTTTCTGCACTACGTTAGATGCTGTTTGCGTAGCGTTTCATTTTAGCACGAGGCCTTACAGGCGAGCGTGTGCATTTGTGTGTGTGTATCAGTGGCTTATGGTTCACTGACTTTACTCATTATCTTTTCTGTTTCTATCTCGGTCTTCTCTGTATTCTCTTGCCTTTGCGCTTGCTCTCTCTCTCTCTCACACACACACACACACTTTCCCTTCTCTGCAGAAACACTGCAGGCTATTCTTTGTCTGCATATCCTTTCTCTCTTTCTGGTTTTCGACATGTCACCCATCTTTTGCTGTACTCATGCCTCACTGTTACCACAGCTTTGTGAAAAGACCAACATTTCTGGTCAACAGATTATGTTGTGTTGTAGATACTGGTATGTTGGTGTCCATAGAAAGAGTCTGAAATTTAAGTTGTTGTTCAGTGAGATTTTAACTGTTGCTAATGGAACTTGAATCAATTCAGTCCAATTAATGTGAAATTTTATTAATTAATGATTGTACATAGTTATTTCTTTCATTAAATCTCATGCAAGATTTTGCCAATAATTATTTAAAATTTGGTCTGTTTTTCCACACAAATCTGACTCGGAACAGCAAAAGAGTCGTGAACCACTTATGCTTTTTCATATATATATATTTTTTTTTACATATTTTGTTTTCTATGGAAGAAATAAGTCACACAGGGATAATTCCCATTACCTTGAAGGGATAGTTCACCCAAAAAAGAAAATCCTGTCATCATTTCTCACCCTCAAACCACCATGAAATGACGTCATTAAATTCCAAAACAACATTTGACCCCATTGACTTTCACTGTATAAAAAGAAAACTTCTCTGTTCCATAGATGATAAGTAAAACAAGCTTGAAATTTCATGAGGATAAGTAAATAATCGGATTTTTCATTTTGTGGGGGTGAGCTGTCCTTTAAACTAGGACGACAAACTTAATGAGAAAGATCAGCTAAATCAGCACAAACATTACACCAGC